CACCTCAGCCTCCCAAAGGCGCGGGATTACAGGCTGAGCCACTAAGCCCAGCAAGACTTTTGTTTCTGTATTCACAAGAGATATTACTCTGTAGTTTTCTTTTTGGGGGAATATCTTTGCCTAACTTTAGAATCAGGGTAACAGGTTTTGTAGAATGAGTTTGGTAGTGTTCTTTCCTCATGTGCTTTCTGAAAGACTGTGTGAAGGACTGATAATATTTCTTACAATATTATATAGTAATGACAACCTAAAAGGAAGAGGCTGAATCGCAAAATATGATTTAAACAATTTACTTGTAAGAACAGCTGCCTGTAAGACTCAGACCTTGGATGTGAGCTCTTTTTGGCCTTTGTTACAAGCCGGGAGTATTCATTCTGTGCTCTGAGCGTTCCGTAGGAGAAAGTTTTTTCTGCAGGTCACGGCTTTCGCTCTGTCCTGTGCATTTTTGCATGTTGTGTTTTCATTTAAATCAGTTCAAAATAATTTATAATTTCTCTCTTGTAATTGTTTCTTCGATCCATGTTACTCAGTTTCCAGATATTTCCTATTATTGATGTCTAATTAAATTCCATTATGTTCAGATAACATACTTGGGATGAATTTACTCCTTTTTTTATTTTTACTTTTTGAGTTGGAGTCTCACTCTGTCACCCAGGCTGGAGTGCAGTGGCACGATCATGGCCATAACAGCCTCGACCCACGAAACTTAGGTGATCCTTCTGTCTCAACCTTCCAAGTAGCTGGAGCTACAGATGCATGCCACCACGCCGGGCTAGTTTTTGTGATTTATTGTAGAGCGAAGTCTCACCGAGTTGCCCAGGCTTATCTGAAACCCCAGGGCTCGAGCAATCTTCTATCCTTGGCCTCCCAAAGTGCTAGGATTACAGGCTGAGCCACTGCGCCTGGCCAAACTTATTCCCTTTAAATGTCGTGAGACTGGCATGTATTCTACCCTGGAGAGCGTTCCATGTGTATTAAAAACGACACGTATTCTACAATTGTTGGGAGAGTGTCCTGTGTATGTCAGGATCAAGTTAGTTATATTGTTATTCTAGACCCTTACTTGGTTTTCTTACCAGTTCTATCAATTATTGAAAGTGAGGTATTAGTTAGTGGAAAACACCAACTCTATTAAATATTTTAAAGAGATTTTTCTGAGCCAATGAGTGATCATGGCCCAGGGGAAAAGCACAAACTCAAGAAACCTTGAGTAAGTGTCCCCGAGGCATCTGTATCACATGTCTGTTTGATACATTTTAGGGAAGTAGAAGTTAGACCGGCCATTGCCTTGCCAAGCCATGGTGTGGCCATGTGCTCTTCGAACTAGGACCAGGCCATGTTTGTTTGTTTGTTTTTGAGTTGGAGTCTCACACTGTCCCCCAGGCTGGTTCAAGACTGGAGGGCAGTGGCACACTCATGGCCACCCCACCCAGCATCGACCAGGGATCCTTCTGCCTCAACCTTCTAAGTAACCGGATCTACAGGTACGTGATACCACGCCCGGCTAATTTTTTTATGTATTGTAAAGACAAGGTCTCACCAGTTGCCCAGGCTGGTCTTGAACCTGCGGGCTCAGACTTTGCATTCACCTCGGCCTTCCAACGTGCACTGACTTCTTTTGTGTTGAGTATTTTTAGTGTACTATTTTATTTTAATTCCTCTGCTGATTTTTTTCAAAAATTCTTCTTAATTTTGTCTCTAGGGATCACAGTATGTGTCTCAACTCATCACAGGCTACTTCAAATTAATATTAACCTAATTCTGGTAAAATAGAAAAACACTTCTCCAGTATAGCTCTGTTCCCTCTCCCTCCTTCCTGCTATTTTTGTCATATATGTTATATCTGTATATGTTATAAAACCTAATGATTCAGTGTCATAATTATCGCTTTATATAGTATTATGTCTTTTAAAGAAGTTAAGAGAGAAAAATGTATTTATAGAGTCTTTTATATTAACTCGTATATTTACTGTTTCTGGTGCTCTTTATTTCTTCCTCTGCATTCTAGTTTCCATCTGGTGTCACTTCCTTTAAACCTCTGAGGGACTTCTTTTAATATTTCTTATGAAGCAGACCAGCTAGCAATGAATGCTCTTAATCTTTTTCTGGAAATATCCATATTTTTCCTTCATTTTTGAATGATAGCTGCTTTAATTTATTTTATTTTATTTTATATATTTTGCGTCGGAGTCGCACTTTGCCACCCAGACTGGAGTGCAATGGCACGCTCCCGGCCACCGCAGCCTCAAACTGCTGGGCTCAGGCAATCCTTCCGCCTCAGCCTTCCAAGTAGCTGGGACTACAGGCAGGTGCACTATAGGCATGTGCCACCACACCCAGCTAATTTTCTGACTTATTGTAGAGATGGTTTATGTGTCTTGCCACATTGCCCAGGCTGGTCTCGAACCCCTGGTCTCTGGCAGTCCTCTCACTTCCACCTCCCAAAGTGCTAGGATTACAGGCGTGAGCTACTGTACCCACCTTATTTTATTTTTAAATATCAGTTTTATTGATACAAAATTAACATTTCATAAAATTCACATATTTAATAAGTACAATTCAGTGGTTTTTAGCATATTCAGAGTTATGCAACTGTCACCACTGTCTAATTTCAGAACATTTTCATCACCCCAGAAAGAAGCCCTGTACCCAGAAGCCATCATCCTTAGCATCTTCTCTTCTGTCTTTATGGATTTGCCTATTCTGGGCATTTCATGTAAATATACTTGTATAATTTATGGCCTTTAGTGGTTGGCTTCTTTCAGTTAGTGTAATGTTTGAAGGATTGTTTGGCTGGGTATAGAGTTCTTGGTTGACAGTGTTGTTCTTTTTTTTGAATCAGAATCTCACTCTGTCACCCAAATTGGAGTGCCCTGGCACAATCACGGCTCACTGCAGCCTTGACCTTCTCCACCTCAGCCTCCCAAGTAGCTAGGACTATAGGCTTGCACCACCATGCCCAGCTAATTTTTTTTGTAGTAATGAGGTCCCACTATGTTATCCAGACTAGTCTGGAACCCCTGGGCTCAAGCAATCCTCCAACCTCGACCTTTCAAAGTGCTGGGATAACAGACATGAACCACCATGACTGGCCTTACATTTCTTTTTTTAAATTAAATTTTTTATTTTTTTATTTTAAAGATGTGGGGTACAATCCCTAAATGCTGGGATTACAGGCTTGAGCCACTGCGCCCGGCCCTAAATTTCTTAAGTTTATGAATTGTCTGCTGTCCCTACTTGATTTCCCCTATGAAAACCAGCCCTATGCTTCTTACTCTAGATTGCATCTGTCAGCCTCTGCCTCATAGGCTTCTTTTTTTTTGAGTTGGAGTCTCACTCTTGACGCCCAGACTGGATTGCAGTGGCTGCTCCCGGCCACCGCAGCCTCGACCTGCTGGGCTCCGGCGATCCTTCCGCCTCAGCCTTCCGAGTAGCTGGAATTACAGGTGCGCACTACCACGCCCATCTAATTTATTTTATTTTATTTTATTGTAGAGATGAGGTCTCGCCAAGTTGCCCAGGCGGGTCTCAAACCTGCGGGCTCAGGCAATCCACTCACCTCAGCCTCCCAAGGCACGGGATTACAGGCTGAGCCACCGAGCCCAGCACCTCATAGGCTTCTAATTGGCTACAGTGGATATAAATCAAGCCCTGCCAGATAAATAACTTCTCGAAAGATGTGGAAGGCAGAAATGCGGTGAAGACCAACTTCCTGCCCCTCTTGGCTGTTGCTGCTGTAAGAAAGGTCACGAAGTTGTGCGGTCTCCCTCCCTCAGTGTTCTGGCGTCTAGGCTCCAGCGTCATGGGTGAGAGGGAAGCCAAGGAAGTGAAGTCGAAGAGAACCCAAGGTGATTAGCCAGGGGTGGTGGCACATGCTGGGGTCCCAGCTACTCAGGAGGGTGAAGCAGAAGAATGACTTGAGCCCAAGAGTTTGAGGCTACGATGAGAGACAGTAAAGGCATCTTGCTTCCAGCAAAGCTGTGGAGGAGAGGAGGCCTTGGAGACTATAGCTCACCTCCTGGAACATTTATGTGTTATTCCTGGAGACGTTCTGGAGCCTAACCTGGTGCCATTCTTTCCGCCTCTGTGATGATTTTCTTTTTTTTTTTTTTTTTTTTTTTTTTT